CGCTAACACTTGTCCTTGGTAAAGCAATCACAACTGCATCTTCCAGAGTCGTCGGGCTCACGTGAAAAAGACTTCAGTCTCAGGATGTCCATAAGTGAGTCATTGCAAAAATACAGTGACAGTTATTGCCTCTGGCAGTGGTTCGATTGCCATACTGGCACGAAGATCACCGAGCTTCGGTACACAGTCGTATAATATGCCGTTGTCTTGACAACATGACAAAAACTTCGACCGTTGTCAAATCTCCACATTCGGTGGAATGAACATCGATTCCATGTCCGTTTTCAGCTATTGCCATGTGGTAAAGTAGTCAGGGCGATTGACGTCCCATGTAAATCGCTTAATCCATTCGCACGGCCATCCAAATGTGACATTGTAAATGCCACTTGACTACGAACATCAAAAAATTAAGCCGTCGTGATAACAATGTCCATTTCTTGCTGTCAGAACCAATGATACTCATCTTCGTGCCCATGAAAGCTCTTCTAGAATTTCAGGACGTTTCGTGTGTACCAATGGTGTCACCACAACTTGTTGAGGAGGTGACGGAACAGGCATCGGTCTGATCTGTGATTGAAATCCCAATAATTCTGGCTCATACGCAGCAATTTGCTAAGCGTTGAGTCATCGCTTCTTGATCAAATGGAGAATATTGGAGCGCGCATGATCTCCTTTTAAAGCTTGCAGCATCACCACACAGTCCCATTGCGATAGTGTTAGGAACAGATATTTCTTTTGTTGATCCGAGGACGACCACCGCCTATGATGTCTACATTATCCATTGATAAATCCATCGAAGTAGTTCGTGCTGGAATGATAACTAATGCTACCAAGTATTACTGAAATCGCCCGTTCGTACACACTTTCTGGAGAAGGCTTAGGTCATCACGCGTGTTGCTCGCTTCCAACGGCCTGTTGACTTACGTAAAAAGACGAAAGGTGAAATGTCATTTACATAGCCAATACCTGATAAGTGCTATCAATTCTGATACAACAGAACTGAAAGGGGATTTACAACATAACAGGGTGTACAGTTAATGCTAGACATACACAGAGTATGTAGTCGACACACATGTGCGATGGGGCCCGACCTATTACATTGAAGTTGCAATTAATGCAATACTCACCGCTTTTCCTAAAATAGGTCGGGCTGGACATGGAGGGTCTTGTTTTGAGATTTAAATGTACAGACGGATTCTCCTTCAAACAGTGCCAATCGCAATCTCGGATATAGAGCTCTCTAAACAGGACTTATAGTACCGATTTTTCTCTTACAACGGGAGAAAAAATCTGATATTTATAAATCTAGCACTAAATATTGCGATTTCTGGTGAGCCGCATGTTAGTACCCACTCGTCCGCTCAATCTTCCATCTTTAAAAAAATCGCTAGTGCGACTTGTTGATTCTTTATCTGAAGTAAAGTTGCACACATGGTCAGCTTAACTTCGTGCATTTAGGAGGTAGACTTGATGTTTTCGCCCCAAAGGAATTGAAACTGTGCGTTTTACAGAGCTCTGTAGTAGCGATTTTTTACGAATAGAAGACCTTCTACTATTACAAGCCCCCATCAAATTTTCGACAATGTTCTAGAAATATAAGACCGCTTCGATTAAAAGACCTCTTCAAATAAAAGGCAGTTGTAAACACCTTAGCATTGGGCCGTTATTTTGAAATCGACCATGCGTCAAGCAAATGAGCTCGGAAGAAGCAGGAGGCGGTCAAGTGGATCGGCAAGCAAGGTGGTGGCGTGCCGAGTCGCGCGGCGCCTCACTTTTGCAAGAAAGGGTGGAGTGTTGATACTGCCACATTTCGAAAGTGGTGGCGCAACAGAGA